GAGCACCCATGAGCACCCGTGAGCATCCATGAGCACCCATGAGCACCTGTGAGCATCCATGAGCACCCGTGAGCATCCATGAGCACCCATGAGCACCCATGATCACCCATGAGCATCCATGAGCATTCACGAGCACCCATGAGCACCCATGAGCACCCATGAGCACCCGTGAGCATCCATGAGCACCCATGAGCACCCGTGAGCATCCGTGAGCACCCATGAGCACCTGTGAGCATCCATGAGCACCCATGAGCACCCATGAGCACCCATGAGCATCCATGAGCATTCACGAGCACCCATGAACATCCATGAGCACCCATGAGCATCCATGAGCACCCATGAGCACCCGTGAGCATTCATGAGCACCCATGAGTATCCACGAGCACCCATGAGCACCCATGATCACCCATGAGCACCCATGAGCATCCACGATCACTCATGAGTACCCATGAGCATCCACAAGCATCCATGAGCACCCATGAGCACCCATGATCACCCATGAGCATCCTCATGGGCGTACAGCAAGTCATTTGTGTGTGATGGTGTTCATGTTCTGCAATGTAGAGCTGTGTCGTGCCTCAAACAGCACAGGCTGCAGAGCCTCAAGAGACCATTTTAGTCCCCAATAGCAATTCACCCATGACCATGAGGACTTCCAGATACATAAAGCCATGACCTTGAGCCAAGAAAGGACAGATGTCTGAAAGATGACATGTCTGGGAAAGGGGGAATTTGCTGTGGTGACGGTCTGAGTGAGCATGGCCTCACAGGCTTCTGTTTGGATATTGGCTAGCTGGTTCTCAGTTGGTGGAACTATTTAGCAAGGAGTAGAAGGTGGGAGAAGGTGAGTCACTGGGCTGGACTGTTGTCATCAGTGACTGTTTCCTTTTGGTGGGTTCAGATGCGAGCTCTCAGTTGCTGCTCCAGTGCCGTGTCTGCCTCCTTCTGCCATGCTCTCTGCCACTGGAACTATAAGATTCAAAGAGACCCTTTCTTCTATTTATTGCCCTGGTTATGGTGCTTTACCACAGCAATAGACAGTAACTAAGACAGCTATGTGGCTAAAGCAGAGAGTATGAAGAACAAGGGATTTGAGATGGTGCTGGAGAGGGGGTTGGGGGGGGGAAGAATGCAGTACAGGATGACAGGCAGACAGAGTCCTTGTGTTAGTTATCTATGAAGTCACTCAGGTATATGTGTCAGAGCATGGGCTCTCGGGATGGATGTGGCTCAGTGGCAAAGCCTGTGTTTAGTGTGTGCAAGGACCTGGGTTTGGGGTTTGGTTCTCCACAGAGGGGACCGGGGAGGGAGACAGGCAGACAGAAAGAGAGAGAGAGAGAGAGAGAGAGAGAGAGAGAGAGAGAGAGAGAGA